TCTCTCCGAGCCTTGGCTGCAGCAGAAAAGTTCCCTGAAAACATTTCACATTAGCGGCACATTATCCACCGTGGTGAATAAACAGATATGGGAAGGTGTTGTTGTGTGGGAGCCACATCGAGAACCTTGCTGCAAAGGCAACACCGGGGGGAGGATGCTGAGTTTGTGAGGGATTAGTTGAATTCTAACAATATTGGGAGAGCAAGAGGGATGAGGAGGAGGGGGGGGAGGGGGGACCACAACAATAAGCACGACCTCAGTCAAGCTCAAGTATGTCATTTACTCTGCACCTCTCCACTTTGTGTTTCTCTGTGTGCAGGAGAGGACCAGTCATGCCAAGCTTTCTGCATGAAAGGGAGAGTGTTTAGCTTTTGAGGCTATTTGTGCTTCTGACTCTGTGGTGTTTGTGTCCAATGGGAGGTGCCTGCGCCAGCTTCCTTTAAGGAGTAGGGGGTTTTGTTTGTTTCTGCGCCGTGCCAGGAGAAGTGACAGCCATTCCGGCTCTTTCACAGAAACACATTCATCTGTGTGAGAAAAGGCGGCCGCTGAACCGCAGATGAAAGGCCACGGGGGCTGCGTGGCACAGGAAGGCAGACTGTACATCGACTTCAGCACAAACACTACACACAAGCCATGTCACAGAGAGACAGACAGAGGGAGGGAGGGAGGGAGGGAGGGGGGGAGAGATAAGGAGAGAGAGAGAAAGAAAGCAGCAAATAATTGATATAAGAAAGGACGATTACTACTGCTACAGAAAACAAGTTATATGTGGAAAATACAGTGTATCTGTTGATAAGTTAGATTGCAGTGATGTATTTAATGCAGCACTCATGATATATCACAGTGGTCTGACTTTAAGAGGAGGAAGAGGAACTATAAAGGGCCTCATGTCATAAACTGAATCCTGCTTCCATTCAAGTCACAATAAACATAATTATGACACAAAACTTATGTTTCACAAACTTAAATTCATATTATAAGATAAACACCTAATTTCAAAAGTGTGTACAGATGTCATAAAGCTACATTATGTCTATAACATTGAATTTATTTATCATTTGTTTTATTTTTGGTCACGACTGGAAGTTTTTTTTTCATGTTATAGTATGTGAGGTTTGTTATGTGTGTGTGTGTGTGTGTGTGTGTGTGTGTGTGTGTGTGTGACTTTAAATAACACACAGGCCGGCGGACTGACGCGTTCATTTCATTGGAGCAGCTCAAATTCAATTAGAGGATCCAGCGTTTGTATTAAGAAAAGTTTTCTTTCAAAACACGGTGGCTGATAAAACTCTGGGTGTTTCTGCAGACTAGGCCCATTCAGGAGGCTTCACGTGGCGAAACGACTTTGGTGCAAAATACGAAATTACAATGAATTGAGAGGTTCAGCCCTGATTCATATTCACTCAAGTGGAATGTGGATTAATAAGTTTCTATTAAGGCATAAACAGGAAGTTCAGCAAAGAGAAAGTCGAATTCAAATAATATATAACATGAAACGTTTATAATTCACATATAGGTCATTTACATTTGAACAAATAAAAGCTTAGAAGTGAACAAGGCAAAAGTTTAAATGGGACTTTTTTGCAATAATTTATCACATTATTATTATTAGGACAATAAATGTTATTATTATTGCTATTATTAGTTAAGGGTTGTAAAGGTAATTGTTGTAATATATTTTTACTGATTTGGAAGGAATTTATTTTGGCTTTTACAAACTTGTGTGTTTGTAAATGAAAAAAAAGAAATAATCACTGCTCCTTGTTCGTATGAAACATTATTTATTTGTTGAGTGATTTGATTTCATTTAGAATAATTGTTAAGTTTTATTGGCCAACACCAGAGGTTTATTTTATGTTTTCTAATGTTAGTTTATTTTACTCTACAACTCTCACTTTTGATAATTGAAGCGCTCTGTCATTCAAAGCCCAGTGGGAAACAAATACTCACACTGTGCGTGATGACGCTTCATAACTTAACGTAAATTGTACTTGACTTGAGGGGATGCATACCCAGGTGTAGCTCTCACAGCGAGGCTTTATGAGTAAGTAATAAAAGTAATGCAAATTATAAATTAAAACAAAACGATATGTTCTACTTGGAAAAAATAAAACATTGACGCTTCTATCATTGATTAATAATAAATGAATAAGAGAAACAATAAAGGCTCCTCAGCTGCTGCTGCTCTCGTTTTATTTTCCCAACACCTTGAAAATAAAGATATTTATACCATTTATTTTTAAATCACATCCTCATAGATTTTTATTTTTCGTTTCTAAACAGTGCGTGTGCGTGTGTGTGAGGGGGAGAGAGAGAGTAAGAAAGATAGAGAGAGCTGCAGATAAATGCACCTGAAATGTCTGAGACGTGCGTGCTGCGGGTGCGCACCAAACACACACACACACACACACACACACACACACACACTCACACACACACACACACACACGCACACACACAGACGCTGTAGGGCATCACTTGTGAACGCACCAGAGCAGATTTCATTCCCTGGAGGCCCAGCAATCATCACCACCGCTGCTTGATTGTTTCACCCTCTTTCTCCCA